GTGTGTAAGCAAATGTTCCTTTGACATAAAGTTCTTTTGATTTCGAAAATATTTTAGAATAAACTTTGTATATTTTTTAGTATTTTGTAAATTGACGAGGTATAGAACTTTATTTAAAATATATAACTATACTATACATTTTTAAAATAATATTCTATATTCTGCTATATATAAGGAACAATATGAGTTATAAAAATGAGTCAAAATTGGACTAATATACAAATATAAATATTTTGAATATTAATTTAATATCATTATCATTTTACACAATTATATAATATGATATATTTGTAATGACATCAGAAACATTCCTGAAATCAGTAATCTATTTGATCTATAACTTTTCTAGCATTTAGAAAACGATTTAACTGAATAAATATCTTAAAACTTTAAAATAATTTCTTTTTATTGCTAAAATTTCTTTAAATATAATACAATATTAATAAGGTTTTATGTATATAACTTAGCTAACTTATAACAAAACAAGATCCTTACACTTATAACAATGCTGCCTTTACAATTGCTTAGGATATTGAATATTCTGTAAATATTCCTAAGCTTTATCAAGTCTAGAATATTTTAAAGAAATAAATCTTTAATCAATAATGTAATAAACCAAAAGTCTTCAAAATATTTATAGAATAAATTAGAAAATATATATAATATAGTATATGATTACTTGAATAATTAATTTTAAAAATTCTCTTTAAATCAATCGATAAATAATTTCAGCTCTTGAACTTATTTAAATTTTTTAAAATATTTATCGTTAGAATTTTATGATAAAAATATAAAAAAGAATTAAAATACATTGTTGAATAAACAGATTTATGCTGATGACTTTCTTGGTGTATCAGTATAGAGACTTCATCATGATACGAAGGAAGAATGATGTGTTTTTGGAAAAAACGAAATCATGTAGATCTTTTCCAAAAAATAAAGAAAAGAAAAGAAGAAACATCATTTGTTTTACGAGAAATGAAGTCATACGTAGAGAGATGAGAATGTTATGTAGGAAATCTGAAAGGGTCGTTCGCTCTCTCGGAATGCAGTTCAGAAATAATACTAAAGTTTTGATAAAGATCTTGTGAAAATTCTTCCATGTGTATTAGCCTATATTGCTCCGTCTTCACAACCCACGATCATATCTCTGTTATTGCGAAAAATGAAATGAGAAAGATGGCGATTCGCTTTGATGATGCAGTTCAATACGAAAAGAAAAAAAATCTATCCTAGTTCTGACCGTTTGCATCTGAATTGGAATCTCACACTTTATTCGGCACAGTTATTAAGATTAAATATATATATATATATATATATATATATATATATATATATATTTAATGATTATATGCAAACGTAAAATAACTTGATAAGCAAACGTATGCAATATACTATAACAAATTGGTTCAATAATCTTTTCTTCAGATGAAAGATTTAACTAACATATATATCAATCATCTATATAAATAAAATATTAATAAGTAAATTTTAAAATTAAAAATAATTGTTTTTCTTGAAAACAATTTCAAAACTATAGACTTGTTTTGCATTAATAATTTATTACGTAATAACGATGTTTTTATGTAGAGAACTATGTTCTTTTATTTTTTCTATTTTGCGGTTTTTGTGAATGTAATTTTTGTATAGAAGTACAGAAAATCAATGTATTTACAATTACAAATTCCAATTATACGAATTATTATTAAATATATGCAATCTTAGGTCATCCAGTTGTGTATATTTATTAATCACTTATAGAATCGTGCTTAATTGTTACCTGCTCGACTAATTTTATCAATATACAAAAAATTAAAATAAACTATAAAGTAAGAATTTTGTTTTCTTAATTATTAAATAACCAATCGGCTAGAAATCAAATTAATTATAATTATATTTGCTCGTAATTAACGGATATTTAAAGTTTGATAAAACAAATAATATTAGATTTCTACGTAAGAGTAAATTATACTCGACATAAAATGCTAATTAGAATGCTCTAAATATCCTTAAAATTAATACTGAAGATTTAAAATAATAAAAAATTTTATAATTTTATCTTAATGTAATAAAATATATTTAAAAACTAATATTTCTATTAAAAAACTAACATTTTTCGAGCATTATTTTTTTGGCTTGCAAAATCTAATTTATTACAACTATTTCATTATTTAATTATAAAATAATACATTTACAAACGGTTTAAAATATATTTAACTTATAAAATTGATTATTATTGTGGTTATTATTATAAATTACTTGAATTTCACGTAATATTTTTTATTATAATGATTGTTTATTTTTAAATTATTTTAAAATATTTTAAAGGTCTCGTGTTAAAAGTATTTTGTTAATACCCAATTTTTGAGTTCTAATAAATTATAAAAGACTGTNAAACAAGGTGAAAGTAAAATGATCTCGACGGTTTTCTATGGATTTTTCAGTAAAAATGACGAAGTAAGGTCAAAAGAATACTTTTCTCCAAACGATTCCTAGTACTTTAAGCATATCTTTTCTGAAGGCAACATTTTAAAATCGATCCGAAAACTATTTCTTCTTCTACATTACTTTCTTTTTCTTTGAAATTCAGAGAGAACCGTGGAAAATCATTGATCGTCATCAAAGCAAAGCACTTTTCACAAGGCAAAGACGACTTACCTTATGCTACGAAAAACTTCACCGTTGGAACGTATTCGAAGAAAGGTATTGGGAGTGGTCGCCAAATGGAAGTAAGCACTCTTCTCGTTTGCGAAGAATGTATCTGGTACCCATATTCTGTCCGCTACTTCAGCCCCGACTGTGAGACTTTCTAAACCCTTCTGGGGTTCAAACGCAAGACGTGGATCTTGCCAAGATTGTCGAAAATAGAAGTCCAGTGTAAAGTCCTGAAATGATACGTTTATCTTTCTAATCTGCTAAATACTTTATCGAATTTTTTTAGATTATGACCCTAATAAGCCTACTTAAATGAATTAATTTATAAAATGATTTAATTGTAATTTTTTAATTTATATTTTATTACCATTTGAACTTCAGAAACTGAACTTATGCTGATGATGTACATTGTTATTCCAACTTCAACTGGAGAACCTTTAAATAAATAAACAAATAATTAAATAAATTTTCTACAAAATAATTTTATATATGTTATAAAATCGTATAACTATATTTATTTAAGTGTGTACTTCCCCATATCTATCCTATTATTCCAACTAATTATTAAATGTTATTATAACTTAATTCTACTTTTCTATATTACTAATATTATTTCTAATTATAATTTAAATTTACGCAAATTATATTGTGCTGTTTTGGAGAACGAAAATGGGATTATAATACAAAAAAATCGACAAGCTTTTTGAATATTTTGCTAGAAGTGACCTTAACCTGAATACTAATAAATCGAAAATTATAATATTTAGGCGTGGAGGAAGCCTACGAATATCGGATAAATGGAATTTAAATGGGTCATTAATTGAGATAGTTGATACATTTAAATACTAAAGTGCAGGGCCGTGAGGTAGATTTTCTAAGTATGATGCAAGTCTTTGAAAGTCTACCCCTTAAATGTTTTTTATGCCGCTCCCTCACAGTGCCGCCTGATGCGGCCGCATCTCTGCATCATAGCACGGCACGGCCCTGCTAAGGTGTGTTCTTTAATTCTCACTGTACTTTTCATTTACATTATAAATATGTCATCTCGCAAGTTATTCAAATAAATGAAGGTTTGAGGTTTGATTTCCCTTTGCACCAATGAAAAATTCAATAAATTTAGCGTATCGGTTATTTAGTTCAATATGTTTACGTAAATATTTATACAGCACATGTTTGGTCATTCAGCTCCGATTTTTCAGGAGTATATTTAAGTTTGATTCTTCTGTTCCAGACTCTTCAATTATATTACAATTTGGTAAATTCCCATAAAGGGCAAGTATTTTTTAATGCTATTCAAAACGTTTTTTCTACTATCTTAAAATTTTCGATCGTCGAAATATCAGTTTCTACAAAAAACTCTATTCAGAAATAAATTTCCATACTAGAATTGCTCCGTGGATCGACGTTTTTACAAAAGCAGCCTTTAATCCTGGTCTAATTTTTGAGAATATTGAGAATTACAGTCTCGAATTACACTATGGTGATTGTTTAAATATAGTCAGTTCAACCGAAAAACAGTAAATAAATCATTGTTTTCCCAGCGGTATTCGGAATGTTTAGTACAGGTCATCATGTTTTCGATTGCTATCTTTACTATAAGGCTGCATCCATGTTACTACAAATCGGACGGAATAAATTTCACATTAAATCAAATTATTCTTTTATATCCAAATTTGTGCATATTCTGAAGAAACCCTCAAAATTCTATTGATTACCTGTTTTATACTGCGCAGTGTTTCAAGAACAAAGAATAGAACTATTTGGTGAGATTCAAGAGAGGAATTATTATTCATTATTATATAAAGAATCCATATATAAATATACGAAATTTGTTAAATTAGTATTTAATCATCCCAACTATGATTAAAATATTTATATTTTGTTATCTATGAATATTATATATAAATAAATTAAACTCGTTAAATTAACAATTAATTGGTGTAATTTCAATCTAAAAATTTTAAAATTATTTTTCCCAATTGTAAAAGAGTTTTTCTCTTGTATAACCGAATACAGGAGATTAAAATTGAATTAAATTATCTTAATTCTATATTATATTATAAATAATTGCAATTAACCGAAAACAAGGTGAAAGTAAAATGATCTCGACGGTTTTCTATGGATTTTTCAGTAAAAATGACGAAGTAAGGTCAAAAGAATACTTTTCTCCAAACGATTCCTAGTACTTTAAGCATATCTTTTCTGAAGGCAACATTTTAAAATCGATCCGAAAACTATTTCTTCTTCTACATTACTTTCTTTTTCTTTGAAATTCAGAGAGAACCGTGGAAAATCATTGATCGTCATCAAAGCAAAGCACTTTTCACAAGGCAAAGACGACTTACCTTATGCTACGAAAAACTTCACCGTTGGAACGTATTCGAAGAAAGGTATTGGGAGTGGTCGCCAAATGGAAGTAAGCACTCTTCTCGTTTGCGAAGAATGTATCTGGTACCCATATTCTGTCCGCTACTTCAGCCCCGACTGTGAGACTTTCTAAACCCTTCTGGGGTTCAAACGCAAGACGTGGATCTTGCCAAGATTGTCGAAAATAGAAGTCCAGTGTAAAGTCCTGAAATGATACGTTTATCTTTCTAATCTGCTAAATACTTTATCGAATTTTTTTAGATTATGACCCTAATAAGCCTACTTAAATGAATTAATTTATAAAATGATTTAATTGTAATTTTTTAATTTATATTTTATTACCATTTGAACTTCAGAAACTGAACTTATGCTGATGATGTACATTGTTATTCCAACTTCAACTGGAGAACCTTTAAATAAATAAACAAATAATTAAATAAATTTTCTACAAAATAATTTTATATATGTTATAAAATCGTATAACTATATTTATTTAAGTGTAAATTAATGTTTTAAAATGCAGCCTATATAATTTTTATTTTACACACAAGTGAATCAGGAATTACGTTATAAATATTAAAATTTAAAATTTTTTTATTATGCAAGTATTAATACGAGTATAAGTAAGATTTATACAAACAGAAGCTAATTATATACAAATAAAGCGGCAATGTTGTTACTGGACTTTCCCAGAATACTTTACTTATTTTCATCCCTAGTAGTTGCAATCATTATCTTTAAGTCTTCAGATTGATTCCGGAGATGGGCCATATCTCTCAAACTAATTGTCCGATTTAGATAAATTTCATAATTTTTCGACAAATGGCACAGGAGTTATCAAGCTTCAAATTAGGTGGAAAAAAATCGTGCACCCACACAAACTAACATCCATGCACAGAGAAATCCCCAATTTTTTTGCTTTTCTTGAAGTTTCAGGGTCACCCGAGTCCAAAAATATAAAACTTGAGTTCATTTTTTGACCGATCGCCATATATAACAGCCGGAAAATAAATATAAAAAATGACATTTTATACGGGTGCCTTACATAGTGTTTATATCGTAAATATTTTTTTATTACAACCCATCCACA